GTGGGCACCATGTTTCTGCAGGGAACCTGGCCCAAGGACAGGCCACGTGGGAATCGGGAATCGGCTGAAAGAGGCACCACAGGAGCCTCTGAGGCGCAGCCCCTGGGGGAGCCTCTGTTGGAGGAGGAAAGGCAAACCTGCTCCCTCTGAGCCCAGCCGGAGGCCGCAGTCACGCCCCCGGGAGCCCAGGACGGCCTGGTGCAGGCTAAGGGGCACGCTCACTCTCCCGGCAGGGCCTCAGCCTTCCCCCTTTCTTCCCAGCTCGAGGGCTGCCTGGAGCAGGAGAAGAAGCTGCGGGCCGACCTGGAGAGAGTGAAGAGGAAGCTGGAAGGAGACCTGAAGATGGCCCAGGAAGCCATCATGGATCTGGAGAACGACAGGCAGCAAGTAGAGGAGAAACTGAAAAAGTAGCTGTTTCATCTGGACCTCTGTGTGCGAGCACGAAAGCCAGCTTCCCCTTTAACAGGCTTCTCTTTCATGCGAAATGCATGTATATCTATTTGCAGGAAGGAGTTTGAGATCAGTCAGTTACAGAGCAAGATGGACGACGAGCAAGTCCACAGTCTGCAGTTACAGAAGAAGATTAAAGAGCTGCAGGTGAGGCCGGGAGCCCCCAACAGCGCCCTGGGCCGCGCCGCCCCGCCCCGCCGTCCCCTCTGCTTCCGTCGCTGCTTCTTCCCTCCCTCCCCTTGCAGCTGGAGACAATATCCTTCCTTCCCTTTATTTACGGAAGTTAATATTTCAATTTTCCAAGTCCCACATCAATGGGTGTCCTTGGACATAATTAACCTCTGACCAATGAGGCAGGACATTGCTCTGCTCGCCACTCTAAGCCCAGTGCCCTCGCCGTCTTCTCAGAGGTCACCACCAGTGCCATTTGGAGGTGCATCCTTCTGGATGTTTCCCTATGGATTTATGTACATAAGACCTCAAAATATATCTATATATATAAAAGCCTAAGCGACCAAATGACCAAACAACCGAACTACTGAAGGACCAGTCACTGTGACGCACACTGACCACCAGGGGGCAGATGCTCAATGCAGGAGCTGCCCCCTGGTGGTCAGTGTGCTCCCACAGCCAACCTCCCACAGCCAGCCAACCTCCTGTGGCCCCTCCCCTACCCCCCAGCTGGCCTCCCACAGTCTCTACCCCCCCAACTGGCCAGCCCACCCTGATCAGCCCTGATGGCCCTGATCGCTGGCCAGGCTGAGGGACCCCACCTGTGCACGAATTCATGCACCAGGCCTCTAGTGCTATATTATACTAGTATATACAACACACGCATAAGCTTATACATATGCATAAAAATATAAGGGAACAAGAACATTATTATATATGTATGTGTACATAAATATATACAACATATATAAAATATACATATAAATATCATGCTGAGACTATCATTCTGCAAGTTGCTCAATTCGTCCTGCAGAGCTGTCCATGGTGGCAGTGGGCCAGCTGCTGCGGACGCCCAGAGGGCACAGCTCCCTCACGGTGGACCTGACCACCTCCCTACTGGGGGACAGTTGGATTGTTGCTGAGTTTTTGATACTAATTTAGTCTTATAGTGTGTTCTTCAGTTCATGCTGTCTGCGCTCTATCCCGCACCATCCTGCCCTCCCCACGCGGCTGCTGCCCCCACAGCAGTGCTGACACAGGCCCTTGCAGGCCCGCACGGAGGAGCTGGAGGAAGAAATGGAAGCAGAACGCACGCTCAGAGGCAGGATTGAGAAGCAGCGCTCGGACCTCTCCCGGGAGCTGGAGGAGATCAGCGAGCGGCTGGAGGAAAGCCAGCGCGCAACCTCAGTCCAGGTCGAGATGAACAAGAAGCGGGAGGCCGAGTTTCCAGAAGCTGCGCAGGGACCTGGAGGAGGCCACCCTGCAGCACGAAGTCACGACGGCTGCTCTGAGGAAGAAGCACGGTAGAGGTCGTGGCCTGAGCTGGGGGAGCAGATAGACAACCTGCAAAGGG